AACCCTGACACATGGCTGCAGACATCATGTCGGTCGCGATTCATGTGCAAGATGGGTTTTCTGCAGTGTTGCGGAAGATGCCAGGTCTCAGATGCAGGTCACCAGACGACGGACTTTCGATACAATCCCCGCTGGTGCTTGGCAGGACGGCCGCTTGAGAAGCTTGGGCAGCACTGCATCTGCATGCAAGATTCGCAAGGGTAGGCAGCTGGCATTATGCAACTTGGCCTCAGGAACTTACAATGCATTCACGAATTGAAGCGGGTCGTGGAGGAGGAAGTCGGCAAGGTTTTGGAAACAAGACCACTGGCGCCTGGTGCCGTGCTTTAACGCGCGTTGCCATTCCCAAAGCTCACAAACACCCTACTTGTGCGTGTTGTAATGCGGATCCTCCGGCGCATCCAGGTGAAGGAGAGCTTCCACAGGACTTGCTGCGCCCTTTCTTTAACAGCGTCAGGAGCCGAGCCGGGTGAAACTTGTTTCGTCTTGCTCAGTTTTTCTGGCCAGGGTAAAGGCCGTAGCAATTCTGAGCGGCTTCTGCTGACATCTTTCCCAGGTGCTGGTGAATCTTTACATGGACGGCAAAGCTCAAATCAAATGGCATGCAGATGATGAGTGGCCCTGCCCTGCTTTTGGTACATGGGTACTCCTCCATTGGGACCAAACTCATGGTGACTAGTCGCCTGAGCGTTCACGCATCTCACGGGCAAAGCTCAGGAAATGCTATGGCCCTTCGGACAATATCCTGATTGGAGCCATGGCTCATTCATGGGGCCATCCTGGGGGTCATGTGCTCGCATATTCGGGAAATCTCCAGGCTCCTTGTCCTTTGGCGCAGCGCGCGTCTTCGAAGTGCGGCGCAAACCGCGGCGTGGTGACACCGACCGCTGCGCACCCAGACGCCCCAGCTAGATTCACTCGGAGCGAGTTATCCAGTTAGTCACCGTTGATCGTGAAGCGGGCTTTTGCTCCGTCCTGAGTGGTGCGATGAGGCAGTGCTCAACAGCTGCAGCGAATTCTGCTGCAGCCGGGCTCACTGCTGGTGATGGGAGGCCAAATTAAGGGGTAAGACAGACACACACACACACACAATCTCAGGTTTTATTTCAGTTTTGCGAAAACGCGGCACCGTGACGGTGAGCCTTGACAGAAGCATGCCTGTTCATTCGCCTGTTGTTTCTTTTCCATCCGGCAGCCCGACAATCACCAACTTGTCGCCAAGCCCCCTTTCAGCCTAGAGGGCAGGGTATAGAGGGAAAAGAAGCGACACGGAAGCAGCAGAACGCACTTACGACTGGCTGGGAGGTGCCATGCAAGCCAATTGGCAGCATTCACTTCCTCCTGTATCTCGCCTGCATCGACCGTGATCACGTGTCGTGTAAGGTGTATTTTGCACAGGCCTGTTGCGGCTTGCTCACTAAGGATCCAAGCTGCTTTGAAGGGCGCATCAATCTCACCTTTCGGCGCATTGTAGGAGATCGGAGGCGTGGAGAAGAGCCAAAAAAAAGTGAGATTGGTATTCAATGTATTCAATTGCCAGGCAGTCAGCTTGCAGTTGCCATTGTGGATTTGCCTTCGAGCATTGAGCTCTGCCAAAGTGAGGCCGCATCACCACGCAGCCTGTCGTGAATCACTTTGGGGCGGCAGAGGTGCAGAAGCACTTGCAGGACAATTTGGCCAGCTTGGATGGCTCTTCAGGCAATTCTACCGTTCCCCTCCAACTACTGGTGGGGTCCAGTAGAGTGTGTTCCGAAAGCATGCATGCAACCCGTTGCCAGACTATTGCGGACTTCTTACACCTGTTTCTCGTGGTGCTTTCCGAATCCTGATACTTTTTCTTGGGCACGGCATGTAAATGACAACTGAAACGTGCAGGACGAGATTGCAAACCTGCAGTCCACTTTGGTAGAGGACCTGTGTGGTCATTGTGAGAGCTTGCAGCGTTTGTCTCATACTTCCTCTAGCATGGCTCCGAGCAAGCCGCGCCTCTGTTGGAATCTTGCATTTGATTTCCTTGCCCTTGCAGGAAGCAGTGATTGCATCACGGCAAACGCTGCTGAAACAGTTCTCCCAAGTCTGGTCGGATCACCACCTGCAGGCCATTGCAGCAAAGCGTCTTGCAGAAGCCAGCAGAATCCAGCCCCTTCGTGGTCCTGGCCGAAGGGCTTCAGTGCTCAATTCCGATGCTCGCCAGGCTCTCTACCGTCAGCAGGAGGCCTGCCACTGTTTGAAGGGGGGGTGATCAGCGCCTTCCTTCCAGCATCGTGTCGCACTTGGGCTTGATTTCAAGGCTGCTTTTGTTGCTGTCCTTAGGCGGCAGAAGATGCCGCGAACTCAACTTGCGAATTGAAATCGACGACGTCGACGCTGACGCTGAATCCCTCGTTGTGGGGGCTGGGATGGTCTCTCCAAGGATTCGCGGATAAACCTGGTGAAGGGTGCGTGTCGGCAGCAGGGGCCTAAGCTGGGAGCGGATCCATGACGAAAGGCACGCTAAAGGCAGGGTATGTGGGGAGATTTCTGGAGATAGCCGACCGATGAATTCAGGGTGGCCTCCACGTTGCAAGGGGCGGAGCAGTCCCTGAGCCACCTCGAAGCACCTGGGCAGACTTAGAGATCCAAAGTCAGCTCTGATTTTTGCGCGGCATAGCCTTGCACGCTTCTAAGACTAAGAATTCGACAACCGCAGGCCTCAGTTTGACCACTTCACAGTTGTGATGTGCGCAGCAAGGAGCGGAACCAGGAAGCTGCGAAGGCTCTGCGGCAGGCAGCCTGCTGACCATCATTCTGCTCAGATCGATGTCCATGGGGGATGCCTGTTGTCGGAATCTGGTGTTTGGGTGTGCTCTGTGTAGGACATGTGGGCTCACCGGCCTGTAGATGTAGACTGTGAGTGGGCAAAGGTTGGCCAAAAGCTGGCCTCTGTCGAGAAAGCCATCCGCAAAGCACAGAGTCGCAAGGCGACCCTGCCGACCAGACTCTGCCAGATAGAGAGAGAGAGAGAGAGATATATATATATATATACATACATATAAGCATCTCAAAGTGTTTCTGCTTGTCGCTTGTCAGGGCTACTCGCTCCAGTACTCCCCCGACAGTACTGCCACCTCCGCTGGGGCTGATGAGGATGGACCAGGCTCCGCACGGATTTAAGGGGTGCGAGCTTAGAACGGTCCACCGGAAGTTTACAAGGTGTACTCTCACAGAGGGTCTTGGTACAAAAGTCGGTGCAAGTATGACGGCTGCTGTCATTGACGTAATTTCCATTACGATTACTGTTGCTGTTGCTATTACAATGACATTACTATTACTCGTATTATTCCTATTGCCACTGCTATTATCTTACTATTGCTTTTTTTTAATACTTTCATTTATTGCCTTTTTTGGTTACTATTTCTTCTACGAGCACCATCAGTATTACGGCTATTGCTCCGACAACTCCTCCTATTATCACTGTTCTACGACGACTATGACCATGACGATCCTCTTTTGTGTCCTCAGTAGGCTTCAGCACTTGAAACCTCAGTTTACTCCTACGCTATATAGTGCAGAGAAGAGACTTCGCCAGGTGAAGCGCTTCGCAGGTCGTTAGGCCTCGCGGTGGCCAAGCGATCTCCCAGGCAACCGAAGGTGCGGAGCTCAGAGCTACCCGCATGCACTCTCACGCTTGAGGAAGAACACATCAGAATCAACAACCTTTTCATCACAGGGCTTTTGCCAAGGTGCGCCAGCGATACCTCCATCATACCAACCATTGCACTAAACCATGGAAGGATATGGAAGGTATACCAATCTTGACCATTATAGTCATCGAGCTAGTCATCGAGCATGGGGAGCCTGACGAGCTACAACTGTTGCCAAGCCCCGACACAGGCAGAGTCGCATGTGAGAGTCGCCTTGCCGGCCTTGGCGCGGGCATAGTTGCCGAGACTCCGGGCTTTGGGCTGTATGCTCATCACTAATTCGTGACCTGGAAGTCTAAACTCATAGGCAGTGTATCAGGTACTGGGATGTTATGTGATGTTCTGTAGCAGTAACCGCCGGGCCAGCGATGTCTCAATGACACTCGCGCGCCTCCTGCGGAGCCAAACACAACTGTCAGACCGTTGCCCCCTTAATGGAAGATGTTCTTGTCCCATGTTGGGCATGTCGGGCATATCTCTGCATCTTACATGCAGGTCTTGATCAGTAGGGCGATGGTCTGCACACTGCACAGAGGGAGCGGTTCTCTTAGAGTTGAAGAGCGACCCCTCTTGAGCTCTCTGGCCGTGTTTCGTCTGATATTGCGCTCATTTGCACGTAGCCCTTGCAGCCTTCAGAAATTGAAATTTGATGGAGCTTGAGGGAGAAGAGGACGCGCAATCTCTTGTGCTGTGCTTTAGGCTTTAATCGTTAAGTTTTATTTGTTGCTAAATATCCTCCTGTGCCTTGGCAGCTTGGGAACCAACTGCTGAGCAAACCCAGGGTTATATCCCAACCATCGACGTGAGCCGAAACCCTCTGGGCTTGGTGCCTTCAAGCAGTTCATATAACTTTCAATAAGGTAAGAGCATCAAGAGAATAAAGAGCAATTGAGATGTGCCACATGGACGTGTGATTGCCGAGACTGTGCGCACCCGGAGCAGAGTGCGGCATGTCTCGGGCCAGTGTGGCAGACCCTCAATGAGCGCCACATTTTCAGCGAAGCGGTGATGGAAAAGACATGCCACCTGCCGGTCCTCACAAGACTCCCAAGACAAGGCGTACCGGAGAGGAGGAGAGGTGCTGCATTATGGAAACGCGACGGGTCACCTCGATGTAGTCTGAAGAGGCGCTCGCTCACGTCGCACAAGTCATAGCTTTGGAGGGAGCACTGCCTTTCAGACGCCGAGCTGCCTCCTATCAAACTTAGTCCAGCAACCGATACCTCCTCATATTTTCCTCAACCCCGAACCTGCGCAGAATGCGCCTTTCTTTTGATGGCTGATAGAAGTGGTTGGCCACCACAATGTCACGCGCAGGTGACCTTGATCAGCGAGTGGCAGTCCGAATCGGCTGCGAAAATCACGAGTTGCCAGATCTTCAGTGTGTGGATGTGCTCCCTTAGCATCAGAATCCTACGAGCACAGGCTGTAGCAGGCTGTATAACCCATTAAAACCTGTAGCCTATTTCCGTGGCTTGGTGCAACTGTAACGCAAGGCCTGGAGCTGCACGACGGATTGCTGGCTGTGGGCTTCAAGCAAGGTCATCCTGAGAGCCGCACAATGGCGCACAGCATCTGAGTAATGCACAGTACAGTTTTCTTTGTTTGTGCGCAGGCTGTGACGTGAATCTCGTCGATCCCTGCACAGCCACCGTTTGTTGGGTTCTCTACGGTCGCGACCCGAGAATCGCATGAGCACCTAAAAGTGCTGTGCTTGCAACACACGTGCGCAATGATATTCCCTTGACTCTGGACATAAGTACAAGGTAAGTAGAGAAGCTGTCGGCAGTGTTATGTTTTTTTCCTCAGGTCACACGGCCCCCATCACGGCTTTGGCGGAATGCGCGGATGGCCGCTTCGTGGGTGGCCTATGGGATCATTCAAATGCAGGCCAAATTTAGTTCCAGTAACGCAGTACCCTGAGCTGAGTCATGACCCCCAGTGCAGTGCGGCAACCGCTGGACTGACGGCGTTCTTTGCTGTTGTTCTCAGCGTGCCTCGAGTAGCTGAGAAGCCTTCTCGATCTCGCCCGTATACTCTCCAGCGACATGACCACATAAGGGGGTGGGGGGGGGGGGGTGAACTCAACAGAAGTCATGTCACCATTATCCACCAAAGGGGGGGCTCAGCCATCCAAGCCAGACTAAATTAAAGAGCTGGAGGTTTTTGAGCGGAGCATGAGGCGAGATACACCTGCTTTCAGACATCCTAGAAACGCAGAGATGCGTGCCGTGCTAAGCTGCAGAATGCCACGTGAACGCAAAGCCGAACGACGACGCGGTCCCGATGGAACCAGGATGTTCATGATCGTAATCGTCTAGGAGATGTTGGATTTCTGTTGAAGTTCTGCAGACGCACGCGATTTCTGTGACGAAACCTGGTTTTTCTTCCACTTGGGAACGAGAACGGAAACACTTAGCAGTAGATCTCGCCCTGGGCACTTAAATTGCAGTAGCAGGGCATGGTTCGGTCAAGCAACTAATGCAGCTTTACGGGTCTTGGCGCTCTAGGCATGGAACGGTCAGCAGGAGTTCACCAGATCCTCTTCTCTGCTCCTTCCTGGAAAGACACAGAAAAAGGGGTGGATTACATGCACATTCTGCACTAGGCATGCCACTATGCCAAATGCTACAAAAAAAACGCTCCCGTGCAAACAAAGGGCAAATAGCAGCGGCAGAATGTGGCACAACTTACGACTGGCTTAGTGCTGAAGGCTGCGGACAATCTCAACTATCGCCTTAAGAGCCCGAAGCAGCAACTCGTCTGCAAAGGTCACTGGTGGAGCAGATGGGGCCATTCGTCTATGGGCAAAGCGGACATGGTCCACAGCTTGGCCAGCACAGGACGGCAACGGGGACAGCTCACGAAATCTTAGCTCTGTGGAGCTTGGGATGGTCGTGTGCCATGCTACCTCTTAAGTGAGCCTCTAGGGCTCTAGGGGAAGAACACGTCCGGGACCTTATCAGGTCCCAGACCCAAGGACTAAGGTCGTCGATGGGGGGGGCAGAGGCGCAGACTTTCTTTCTTGCTTTTATTTATTTTATTTTTATTTTTTTTTCTCTCTCTCTCTCTCTCCATCAAGATGGATGCGTATGGCATAAGGTAGGGGGGGGGGCCTCCCACTTGCACTTGAGGTCGCCCCTTTCCCTCTCTCGCCTCTAAGGTCCTCCAGATCCTAGCCAAAAAGCCAGGGGTGGATTTCGGGGTTTAGGATGTCGTGTTTTGGTTTCTTGATCCTGAACCCTCAAACCTACACGCGCGACCTTTATGGCGTACGGTTCAGGGCTCCGTGTCCGACGGAGCTCGTGCGTGCCTGCACTTTCGCCCCCAGCTTTCGTGCCCCTCCTCAAGTCAGTCGCGGGCACTTGATTGCACGTCGTTTTCCTGAAGGGGGTCTTACCCCTGCAGGATTCTCTTCGCAGAGCCGCTGACCCACCTGCCGTACGCAGACTTAGTTTCCACAAGCTCTTCCCAAGGGAGCTTAGGCCACTTATCAAGGGCCGGTTTGGCGGCGCCGGAAACACGTGGCCTGAGGATGGCACCGAGCCCCCGCTTCTGCCGACGGAGGCTCACTCAGTCAATCTTTTGGTTGTTTTTTTGGGGGGGGGGAGACAGGCAAAGGGTGATTTGTGAAATTGATGACTTCGATTCGAGAGGCTTGGAACGAGCTGCTCGGAAGCGAGACCGGGAAGCCTGGGGTCTGCAGCATGGCAGGGTCCTCTGTGAAGGAAGTTTTCGAGTGATGCTTGCGCTTATCACTTATAGCTTATACTTGCTGAGGCCTTCCATGCTCACACACAGCAGGCCGTTACCATTGACTTAGCTGCTGCCGGCAATCAGATGCATGAAAGTGCAGCATTAAATACGTTCAGCTGTGCAGTGCTGCAACTCCCGGAGCAGGCACGACGCGGTGAGATGGCAGCGCTATTCTTGAGAGTCGGTCGCTCACAATTCCGGGTGGTGCATCTGAACGACTAGCAGAGTAGACTTTGCACCATACAGCGCGAGATCCTGTCACGCGCGGTGTGGGATCGTCAGATGTACTACCTCAGGTCCTTGTGCAGAGCGGCAGCAATCTCATCAAGGCAGGTCACGGCTATACTTGCATTCACTGCAGTCTGCGTCCTTCCAGCAGCACGGCAGGCGGAGGCCTTAAAGAAGTCTCAGGTCTACGTCGCTTGCAGCGACCTCAGCGACCCGAGCCTTTCGCATCTCTTTTTGTGCTTTAATGCATCTCCGTGTCGTCTTTTTTTTGCCTGTCGTGCGCGATGTCTTCTGCCATCTTGTGCTGTATCTGTCTTGCTGAGAGCTTCGCGCGTAGCTCCAGTGCAGCACGCAATCGTCTGACTTTGCAGGCACCGTGCTGGACGTTGCAGATGCATCGCAGATGTCCCAGGAGACAACGGCGCAGACAAGATCCAGCAGGACACAGCGAGGGGCTTGTCAGTGCCTTGTGTAGCCCAGATAAAACAAGACTGAGGCGTCAGCAATGATTCACTAGTTGCCTGATGCTATGACGGGATGCTACGTTGCTCGCGCTGGCCAGGACCGGCACGTGGAACGAGTCGCTGACCCTTTCGTACAGAAGGAGATCTCGCCTTGTCGTGTGTTTCTAGTCACAGAAGCCACAGAGATTCACGGCTACTAGTCGATTACTGTAGAAACGGCGATTCACTGCAGGAGCTGGATTGCTGGAAAGCAAGGGTTCAAGACTGAGTCTTTGTTGTGAAGCTACGCCCCGCAACAGTTCAACTCTCACGACAAGGATGGGCATGGGCGCATGCTGATAACAATTGGGCTCAAGGTCATCCGTAGATATAGCATGCTTTTTTTGCTAGGGGAGTACACAAGTCCCTGGCATACCTTCAACTCGCCGTTTGACACATTTGAAAGGCACATCGCCTTCACAAGCGGATGCACACATTTTGCTTCATTTCTATTTAGTCCAGAAATGATGACCTGGGTGCTGTGTGCCTTGCTTGCTGCGCAGTTTGCTACGCAGCCGTACCTCACAAGGCTGGCAAAGTGCGCCATGAGATGTTAAGCAACACTGGGTTGAGTTGTTGAAGCCCGCTACATGGTGTCTGGCAGCGAGGAAATTTACGAGCGATGAGCTTGTTATCAGCTGCCCGGCAGATACCAGAGGCAGCTGGCCCTGACCTGCACCAGAATTCTGATAGAGCCCTCCTTGTCACCACCTTCTGCAGAATCTGGTACCAAGGCTCCTACGTTGCAGCTGCAGAGCTGCTAAAGCTCACAGTGTGCTTGTCGTTCCTCCTGGTCGCTGGTGGATGGCACGCTGCTTTTAGAGGCTGGACATGGCGGTGGCTTGCCTGCACCTGCACATTTTGCAGAGCGACAAAGTTCACGAGGAGTTTTTTTTTGACATAGCCTCGCAAGAGGGAGTTGACATGTAAATGAAATTCTGCTAGGAAATTAAGACTTGCGATCTTGAGCGCCATCCAGGATTGGCCTGCGAGAATCGATTTGGCCGGCTATGGCTTACGCTGCTTTTCCGACATTGTCTGGCTTGACGAGTGCTTGTAGCTAGAAGTGGAATCATGCTTAGGACAAATGCCTTGCAGAAATGATCTGCATTGAACAGCTCTGCAGTAGCTCTGACACTGAGGCCTTACAGAACTTTGCAGGGACCATCGCAAGCAAGAAGTTAGATGCGGTCACGTGCAATGTCCTCAACCAGGCCCGGACTAGTCGAAATCGAAAGTCACCAAACGGAGCCGTCTGAACACTTGTATTAAGTAGCCCTCTGGCAACTTGTGTTAAGTTGGCCCCCAATAGGGTGCTCAAAGTACTGGATCTGTGCTCGCGTCCCCTCCAGACCAAGCTGCTTTGGACCGCTGCTTTTGTGGTCCTTCGCAAGCAACGACAGTTTTCCTTCCGTGAATGGGCTCCTCGACTGCATTTCAGAGACCAAATGTCTGCACATGCTGCTTTAACCTCGTGCATGAAGCAGTGGCCAAAGGTAGCCCTGGTGATGACTCCTGCCTGGTTTTTGGAACGTTTTGCCTGTGTCCTTTAGGATCCTTTCTTCGGGTTTTTGGGATGGAGCCCTTTAGGAGCCTTTGCGGGTTGCATATAGGAAAATCATATTATATATATATATCTATAGAATGTATTCTGCTCAAAAACATAAATACCTATACCCAGAAAATTTGCATAAATACATACATTGTAAAGATATATATATATATATATATATATACATACACATATATACATACATCTTATATATATATACATATATATGTATGTGTGTGTATGTTTATGTGGGGGTTTAAGGATCCTCTTCGCGTCAGTGCTGACTGCCTGCGACGGTGACGGCCTTGACGTGGATCCCTGTTGGGGTCGATGCCAAGGCATTGCTTGCGCATGCTTTGCCGTCGCTCGTCTGACGGGTCACACGCAAGCTTTTTGGGGTTTAGAGTTTAGGGTTTTTTGGGTTTTTTGGGTTTTTCGGGTTTTTCGGGTTTTTCGGGTTTTTCAGGCCAAGGCCTGGGTGAAGAAGGGCTTTCAGGGTTTTGGGTTAAGGAAGCTTGTTTGTTGATGTGTGTGGTCTGAGGCGATGTGCTCTGCCTTCGGGGCCGTTCTGACCGAGGAAGCTCTGGTCAAGGGCAGAGATCCGTTCCTCAGCCACTGAGACTAGCTCTCCTACTCGTACAAACCTATATTCATTGGGCTTGTAATGGGCGGGGGGGGGGGGGGGGTACTATAATCCCTATTAAGGACTGTCAGTATAAGGGGACTATGGTGCCCCCTATCGCGCTCAAAGGTGCCTACTCTCGGCCGAGCTGGCTCTTGGTGGCCTCTTCACGCTGCTTATCACATTTCCTTTTCTGGAAGGCGGCCAATCCTCGGGAAGGCTTTTGGGATGGACATGGGCGACTCTGCTTCCGCTGGTTGTCCATGCTGGCGGGGGCATCCTTGCAACATGGTTCGCAGATATGGGCAGTTCTGCATCTTATTGTTTGCTCGGGGCACCCATTAGAAAATGATGCTGTGCACCGATTGCAAGAAGGTCCCTCGTATGTTTAGAGTCTGGTTTGGCCCATTGGGTTATTCTGCCACTCGCATGTTCTCAGTCAGGTTGGCATCGTCACCAAGCGGCTGGGAAGTGTAAACAAAGCCATCCTCATGGTCGTGAGCCTGCTGCTCACCGGGAGCTTGAAGGTGCCTTTTGTGAAGGTCTGACAGTCCAGGTGTGGTACGCTGTAGCCAGTGCTTCCAGGAGATAGTGCGGCATGCGTAGCACAGAGTCGGCGAAAACTATTGCACGCACGACTAGAGTCGGGTCTTTTGGCGCCATGTTCACGACAGGCATGAATGCTTGTGACCGCATGTCTGACTTGTTCCAGAAACGTCAAATGTCCTTTTGCAGTATGCTGTGAAGGGAGGCAAAAGCGCAGGAAGCACCAGTGTTCTGGGCATGTTCGCCCAAGTACCTGCCCGCCGCCAGTGATTTCGGCACGTTCGCCACAAGGCATGAACGCTTGTGTCCGCGTGTGTTGTGCAAAGACGGCGGCCCGTTTTTTGGGGCCGGTTCACCAACTGTATGAACGCTTGAGACCGCACGCCTTGGGCATGATGGTCGTCATGTGAATGACGTTATCCAGGTGCGAGCAGGTGTCAGAGCATTATCCCCCTCCACCTTAAGCCTTAAGCCTTAAGTGCTTGAATCCGGCCTTGCACGAGTTTGAGCGTCGAAAAGCTTGCTTGAATGGGGGTATGGCCCAGTATTGTGCCTGTGCGACCCCCCCCTCCCCTACCCTAGGCTAGCTTGTCGCGAGCTGTCTCTTTCCACGGTCGTGCATCTGTTGCCACACTGCTGCTATCGGCATGCCTCGCTTGGAAGCCTACAGCCGAAGAGCACCGCGATCCGCGCACCGGGAGGTTGTGATCGACCATCATCTTCCATCTCCTTCCTCTATGGTGTCCATTGCAGTTGCCCTTTGGTCGCATGAGCTTCTGCGTCTTGCTTTATGCTGCTGAATGCAGTAGAGATGTGCCAGAAGACAACTAGGGAAACGTACAGGCTTTGACTGGTGACTGGAAACTTTCAGCATAGGTGGCAGCCGGCCTGGCGCTTTATTGCGACCTCGGGCATGGCATCGTGACCCTTTGCCAGCGTGAGTCGCTTGGACATTTTTCAGCCGCAGCTTGGGCCAAATAGCTCGGTGACTGATCAGATGACAAGCAAGTGCTTCTGCCCAGGAAGGCAAAGATGTGGTACAGGAAGCTGAGCTTAATTTGGCCGCCATTTCAGAGATGCTTGGTTTTCGGGTTGCCTGCGGTGGTCCCGACCGTTGCGGGACGGTGTGGGAGTGTTCGGAGTGTTTGTGATACTTGGGCTTCTCAGCTTGTGTGTAGCCCCGCGATTCAGACCTGCAGATCAGAAGATGGCAATTCCCGGCCCGATGCTAGGACATTGCTGGGCCGTTCACAGCACTCGCTGCAGCTCAAAGAGGCCTGGACCAAAGAACATGTCGGAATATGTCGGAATAAACCCTTGGCTGAGCGATTCGCACATCAGAGTGCAAGTTGCGGAAAGGTCGAAGCCTTCAAGTGGGTGCAGTCGTGTCTTGGCTGTATATTCAACCTTTATTGCATGTAGTTGGAATGGGGCGCGTTCCCGCGCGTGTACTTTCGAGCACATCTCTGGTTTTCCGGCACAGCGTTTTAGGCCCAAAACACTGGTTATTAGCTTCTTTCTACAACATACTGCACAAAGATGTGGAACAAGAAAATCTGTCACAAGCGTCCGTGCCTTTCGCGAGCATGCCCAAAACACTGGTATTTGCAGCGTTACCCTGTTAGCTAAACCCTCAACATGAAACCCATGACCCGGGCTTCAAATCCCAAATATCTACCCCATGACATAACTACAGTGACTGTCATTTGAAAACTAGTATGTAGTCAAAAAGCATGGTCCCCAAAATAGACATAGTTTTCCCGAAGTGCTGAAAACCCACCCCTGCCGATGTTTTCTGCCTGTCCAGACTTGTGTACATGCCTTCCGTACCACGCGCGGGAACGCGCCCCGAACCATGTAGTAGTTTGAGTTCACCACGGTAGAACTCCCGGCAAATGAAGACTGAAGCATCAACAACAGTGCCCTCGCCTTCGAAGCAATGTTGTGTATCTGCAAATCTGCGAGGTATTCTGTTTGAGAACGCGCGTGCATCCACGATACCTGGCTGCATATCTGACACAGAGTGGGCCCAAGGAGTTTGAGATGTTTCCACGCAGGACAGGTCGTCTAGCTAAGATAAGGGTATGCGGTGACAGTCAGGAAGGTTCTTGATTGTTCCTGTGCGATCTTGCCTTGACTTGCGACTCCGCTTGCCCCTACTGCTGTGAGATTTGAGATTCCAAGCAGGCTCTGTTTGCGCGTCCCCTCCTCGCAGAAGATACTGGAGGGACGCCGGCTGAAGGATGTAGACTAGTACGTGCAAGATGTCGTGTACAGAATCCTTTGCTGCTAGGCTGTGGGACTTGAGCAGGTTCAGATAGCTCCACGACTCGGATATTGCACATCCGCGTGTCTTGCGTAGGCGCCAGCGGGTATTCAAGCGCAAGTTGAAACGACTTGCCTGCAGTTTTATTCGCGCAGCGCTGTGACATGCAATGGCAAGTCGGAGCACCTACTTTACCTTGTACACGACTGCACAAAGAAGACCACGGCAAACTCTATCTCCAGATTATGAGACGTGCTCTGAGTTGCCGAGCCTGTCACGTCAAACCCCTTGGGTCGCCGGGAATGTATCTTGATCCCCTCTTCAAAGTCTCGGGGAATTCCTCGAATGCCATCCATGGTTGCTCGCACATGCTCGGTGATCAACTGGGGGTCTGAGCCTGACCTGTGCTGATGGTACATGGCTCTGACGAAGCTGTGTGTTTGTTGTGGCAGGTGATGCATGGAGCTGTTGACACACCTCTGTCATCAAACAAACTGATGCCAGCAGAGCTTCTGTGAGCTGCTTCGACATCGACACTATCAGCTGTGGCTTCTCAAAGGCCATCTAGGCCAAGCGGCCGCATGCAAACGAGGCAAATCTGGAAGTGGAGGGCCTCCGACGCGAAAGTTCCGCATTTCCCAGCAGCTGCATGGAATTCGCACTCCAATACGACTTTGCACACGCCACTCAGAAGGACTTCAGGAAACAAAGTTTCGTCGGCATCGCAAAATCGTTTGAGGCGGTTTGAGCGTTTCTGCCCTCTGCAGATGTTGCAAGGATGAATGAAGCATGATGAAGCCGATACAGGGGCCTATCCCAGCTTACAAGAACCTCCACTCTGCAGAGAGCACGCAGGGGGCACCCAAATGTCTCTTTACTTCAGAAGCGTGGCGGCAAGAGAGGAGCTTAAGTGTTCCTCCCCCACCCGGCCGAGAGAACAGCCGGCAGCACAGCCCCTGTCGAAACTGATAAAGCCAGCTCATGAGTGCTTGACCTCGAGTTACTTCCAGTTTGGCCTCATGCAGAACAAAGCCACACAAATCCTTTCGACACTCTGTGGCCAAACCAGATCGTTCCCCAAAGTGCGCAGCAGTGGGGGATACAATTTGGGCTTCCTGCCAGACCAAGTCTCTTTGTATATAATTGATGCTTTGGTGCGTGCGCCTCCAGAAATCAGCCCAACTGGAGCAACATGGCGCCGACATGGAATAATTGGTGGAGACCTGCTCCGCTGGGAGTCTTTGAAATCGGAAAAGGAGAGCCGTAAGAATCGTCTGTATACTCATATTCATGTCCGGTCTGCCATGACCCAAACTGCTCCTGTGAGGCTGCCTGAATGCTCCTGGCTTGATCTGGAGGCGCTTAGTGACTTAGTGCAGAGGTCTCATTGGTGCTTCCGTAGATGAAATCGGCAAATCACAGCCCGTTTTGCTTGGAGCTGCCACAAACAACCTTAACATGCCTTAGCCTTGCCTTTCAACCTCTCTGTGTGGTGTGCGTTCTCATACCAGGTAATGCTGGGCGCCAGCCGTAAGAAGTGCGTCCCTTGGGCATGGGGACGCATCATTGACAACCTGCGCCCCGTGCTGTCTACGTCTACGCACCCTTAATCCCCCAGTCAACTCTATAAGTGACTCAGCAGTACCATCTGAGGGCTCCGAGAACCATTGCCCGCTGCTCTGTACCATTGGAGGAGGTGCTGCTCTCATTTGCTCTTATTTGCTCTTAGTAGCTCCTCATGCTGTCGTGCTGTGGCTGGAGCTAGGGCCAGGGCAAGATGAGTTGTAACTCCACGCTACGCACTTCGCGGCCTGTGTTGAACCACAACTCCGGCTCTTACCTTTAAAAGGGAGGGGAGGGGGGGGAGGGGGGGATGGGTAGAAGGGAGGAGCAGCAAGAGACGGAAGAAAGGAAGCAAATGAGCTCAGCAGGCAGGCGGCAAGAACAAAGCCGGGGGTTTAAGGCGGGCTTAGGGTGGGGAGGGGGTTTGGGGGGGGTTCTGATGCACCGTCTGCTCCTGCGCAAAACCTGTGGGGAGCAAAAGTGGGGGTGCCGGCTTTCTGCGACCCAGACTCCTACGGCCCGAGGCCTCGGATTTGCTTTTGCTTATGGTTGACCTGCGCCCTGGAGTTCATTGAATTTATTTCGTGGATGGAACTTTTGATGTTTTGCTGTTTTGGGGGGCTGTGGATGTTTGCAACAGGTGGTGCGGCAACTGGCGGATGCTCCGAGCCACGAGTTGACGCCCAGCGTGGTCATCTCAGAGGGACGGGCAGGGTGCAGAATCACCCAAAGGGGTTTCGATTGAGTGCTGCATTCGAGGCGTTGGGGCTTGGCATGTCTGCACTTGTACCCGGCATGGCCAGCTCGAGTTTGGGTCAAGCGCCGATTAGCGCGACCTGCACCGGCATTTTTTTTGCCAAGGCGCAGCATGTCGCATCGAAGAGCCGAGGAACCGACTGCCACCGTTGCGACACCCGTTTCCCAACATGGCCTGGCCTCCTGGCTGCGCCGTTTGGGCAGGCAAACGAGGCAACCTCCCAGTGATACTCGTAGCAAGGCAGTGAAGGCAGCGAAGGCAGCGAAGCCAGTACCAGGTCATGACAGCAACGGCAGCAAGGCAATCTGGGTTGGCAAGCCACGTTCTCAACTCCAGACTCGGCGGCGCAAGCCATGTTTGGGAGACTATTTCCGGACCGCGGACATCAAAAGCGAGGCCTCCACCTTCAGCGCGAGCTCCACGAGCTCCACCTGCAGCACCTCGTGTGGCACGTCGTGTGGCACGTCGTGTGGCTCTGGAAGCACCCCACCAGCAAGTGAAGATGAGAGCTACGAGTTGTCTCCCGCGGCTAGGGCTGTGACCAAACGCAGTCCCGTGACTAGCGACTCATGCTGTATGCCTTTCCTTCAACTCTGACCTACTTAGCATTGAGAACAAGATTTCTTCGGGCTGGAGGCCGGAGAGGACTTGTTGCTTCACCGACGTGGTGACTTTAGGGACCAAAACACAGCAAATCCACGTTCCTTCCTCCCCGAAGTCGAGGGATGTCTAATTCGAGATTGTGCATGATCTCCGGGCATTTATAAAGATCGTAAAGCGTGCTCGGTCTTCAGAGAGTGGTGGACGCCAGCTGAACTATGTGAATGTTTTCCTGTTCTGTAGATGCAAGGCGCCCACCCTTCTCGTACACAGCCAGTCTGAGTGGCGTTGCAGGCATGCGGCTGCAGAAGCCTGTGAAGATGTGACCATGAGAGAAGCAGCAGCGAAGCAGCCCGGCACCTGTTTTGACCAGACTGGGCCAATCTGGACCGCCCTCGAGCCTCCCCGTGCCCTCAGCACGGAATCCCTTTCCCACACCGCCGGTGTCCCAACAGATGGTGCCGGCGGTTGCATGCCCAACAACTTAGATGTGCCACGGCAGCTTACATTCAGCTGTCGAATCGAAGAAGGCGTGTAAGAAAAGGAATTGAGGCGCACATGATACTGACAGTCCTTCCTATCAAAAGTAAGCGTGTGTGTGGTGTGTGTGTGTGTGTGTGTGTGTGTGTGAGTGTGTGTGTGTGTCTGTATGTCTGTCTGTTTGTCTGTCTGTTTGTCCGTCCGTCGGTCTGTCTGGCTGTCTGGCTGTCTGTCTGTCGTTTGTTGGCTTAGGCCAGAAAGCTGTACTCTCCTCTGGGGCAAGGACCATACGAGGCAGCGTGGGGCGTTGGGGCTTCTCGCAAAGCAACGTGAGGCTAGGAACTGGCTTCTGAGTCGTGGGGCAGTCACTGGAGCACACTGAAACCAAGCCCCCTTCTTGTCCCTTCTTGTGAAAAGGTCAGCCCAAGGGATGCTCGAGGTAAGTAACCCATGCCTACCCATACTTCAGGAGGTCGTGGACGCCGAGCTTTATGTTGGATTTTTCGAAGAAGCAGGGGACGTACTTGGAGTCTCTGTGAAGCGTGTGCCTCAGGAGGCTCTTGGCAGGAACTGAGTATCCGCGACCACTTTGCCGTGCCAAATGGGTGTTTAGTAGACATCGTGCACGAGCCATTCGCACCGGAAATGTCCGGGCATGTCCCTGCTTTAGAATGCTTCATGCTTCACAATGCAAGTGCTCTTGGCGCTGCCCCATGTCGCGGTCACTTGCGGAAGCAACTGCCAAGCCGTCCGAGGTCGGTCCATGTTACGGCCTCAGGTGCAAGCATATTGACATCTGGATTAGATTTGATGGAGATGGCTCTTGTTTTGCGGCATCTCCTGTCGGCCGGTACTTGTACTTAGCTTTTGTAGCTGCAGCAAAGAGTTTCAAAAGGAGTCCGCTTCAGCTCTTTCTTCTCGAATGGCCCCGACTGTCACCATGCTCAGGGCCTCGCTGTCCGCTTCACACAACCAATATTTGTCCGCTTGAGCCTGAGTCGGAGAACCACGTAGAGACGTAGAGCCACAGGCATGGGCTGGGAACTCGCCGCAGACGCACGCAGAGGGTTTGCGCTGCTGCTTGAACTGTTACCTGCGGCGGGAAGGTGCGACTGTTCGGCAGAGCTGCGCTGGCGCAGTGGACAGCCTCAGAGACTCAGAGTCAAACGTTTGGCCTACGGACCATGCTTCATGTTGATGACACCGGCAGTTTTCCCTCTTTTCCCGCTTCAAGGTGCAGAGTCTGCCGGCCAAAGTTCGGGACGTGACTGAGGTAAGTGCTCAAGCTGTCTGATGGGCAAGGTGTGGGAAAGTCCCTGCACCCCAGTTGTACTTCTGGAGGTTCGAAGTCAGACGGTGAACCCTTGGTGGGACGAGATCTTGGAGTTCGAGGCCCTGGCCTTGGCAGCTCATTGGGGCTTCCTTGCAATATCAGAATCTTACTACACTATACAACTTTTCTAATATTGGAACATGAATATACTGATACGGTAGAATATGATCATATTATTGCAATGATATTATGATCGAACGATACACTAATGGAGTGATGTACTCATAAAAGGTCAATGTACGAATATGACAACATACTAATACGAGTCCAATATATATATATACATAAACACGATGTTCCAATTTTCAAACATACGAATATAATGGCAAAATGACTTAAAGATCATACTAGCACAGTACCGAAATCACATGGTAGTATAGTGACATAGTAATATAAACAAACAACACACCTTTCGCCTCCCTCTGCAGATCCCGGTCTTCGTCGGCGACCGTCACATCTCCCACAGTCCCGACTACCGTCTTGTCCTGAGACTCCATGTCACAAGGGGCCTTTCAGCAGCTAGGAGTTACTTTATACGTGTCCGTGGTCAGCAGCTCAAACTAGGCCTCTACTTTCAAGTCTTCTGCAAGGAGCGAATGCTCCCTGGCTGGGCTTACTTAGGGGAGGATCGACGGGGGGCATGTCTAGGCTCAAGAGCAGGGGGGTGAACTGAGGAACAACGAGAAGTTGCTGGCTGAGCTCTTCGTGCCACTCGCGGATGCGATCCGTGCAGATGGCCAGAAGGCAGTCCGGGAAATGGGGGGCACTTTTGGCCGGTCCTCGGGGGCCGTTTAAGAATGCTTGAGGCAAAGTCCTTCGAACTGAAGCCCACGGAGATGCTGCTAAACCGGGACTGGGACTCAGGTGTTTTGAGGCGAATCTGGTTTTGCCATCTTGATGCCTTTTGCTCTCAGGGCAGGAAGTCCAGCAGAAGCAGCGCCGGGGGCTTGGGTCACCACACGGCTGGGAAATCTTCAGCTCCATTGCCGAAGGGCCCCAGACACGAAGCCTTTAAACTTTAACATTCCAGCTGCCTTGACAAAAAGCAGGCAGCCAGCGGCGCTGGGAAGGCGCGTGCTCGTCTCTTTTAAACAGTTTTAGTCCGTTGCCACCGCGCTCGCGCGCGCTCGCGTCCATCTTGCTCGTCGGAGAGGGCCCGGGCAGCTTCGTACACCCTTGTCTTTCCGGAGTCGAAGTCGACTCCCTTCGCCGAGGTTCGTTTTGGAGGTTTTGGGCTTACAAGGTACGTCCAATGTCGCCTTGGGGGGTACGCCTTTCGGAATGTCACCTCTTTTTTTGCCCCCTGTGACGGTGTAGCAGCGGGCGTCTGTGGATCCAACGCGGCTGAGCACGGCTTCAGCTTGCCTGGTAGCATTGGCAATGCAACGCTGCACATTGCGCGGATGATGTTTGTGAAGCATCGAGCCACTGCACGGAGTCATGGCGGTTTGCCTTTCCGTCCAAGTGTGTTTGTCGCACCTGTTTTTGTGAACCATGGTATTGAGCTGCTCTTGGCATGACATTCGTAGCGTCGTAGCAACCTCGAACAATGAGGAAAAGCCGACTCTCTGCCCAAACCTCAGCCCATCCAGTCGAAAGAGAGCGTCATGGGCACTGCACCTGTGAGATCTGAGAGTGACTCTGTAATCGTTTTACAAGCTGAGAATCCCGCATCATCTTTCCGATCAGCCATCCGACACTACGTAGCGCAGCGCACTAGTCGCACATGGAAGCTGCGCAACACAGGTCTGGCGTTTCAGGCCATCGTGCGGAGAGCTCAGACAAGAATGTGAAACGTATTCCCCGGTAACTTTCCTTTGCAACGCTAAGACTTCAGCACGGAATCACAGTCGTTTGCGCGGCAACCGCTTGATGACGCGACTTGTAAGCGGCTTGGCGTAAGGAACAGATGGGACACCTGCAGCCCAGGCCATGTCCAAAGCAGATTCAGTGCACGGTGGAACGCCCGCAGCTCAGTCTACAACAATTCTGCAACTTGGATAGACAGGCTGTGGGCGCCTGGAGCACGATGCTGTTAGGCCTCGTGCTTGGAGTGCTGCTTTGTACTTGGACAGGCCTAGACAGCGTGAAGTACGCCGGCGTGACTCCCAGCCAAGCCACGACTAACACGATTGTCTGAAGAAGCCGCATTTTTGAGTCATGAGATTCGGATCATTTCGGCTCCGTGCATCCACGGTAAGGCACAGTGGACAAGAACCTTCAAGTTCGGATGTGTTTCGTGGAGGGCGATCCGATGCTGCCCTGCCCACAGTGCTTTCTATCGATGGACTGAGATGGAAGATGAGGAAAACGACCTGTGCAGGGCAAACCCAAGTGTGAGAACTTCTTCCAAGCAGCAGACCGTCAAGCCCGTCAGGGCCCTGGAGAGCTCCCAACATGCGGCAAACGGGGAAGTGATGGTCAGTGATGGTCGATGTTCTCTTAAGAGTCATGGAGTGCTCTGCGACAGGTCTGGAAACAAAGGTGTGTCTTTGACATGCCAGCGGGGTCCTGGCCTAAGACCGTACTAAGACCCCCGGTGTCGTTGCCAGTGGCTGGGGAGCGCAGCTTGGCATGAGGCTTCTCCGATCGGGTTTTGAACCTCGCCCTCCCTCCGTCCGCAAGGGATGGGTGCACGACAGCAGGAGCGCTTTTGCGCATTGCGTGGCTGATGTACCTTCCCGGCAACCCACGTGTGTCCACAGGCCATGTGTGTGTGTGTGTGTGTGTGTGTGTGTGTGCGTGTGTGTGTGTGTTTGTTGCTACTTTGGGCATCCTTTGGCTCCTTTGGCTCGCCTGGTGCTCGCAGCCCGTAGCATGGGCAGCCAAGTCCGCGAATTCAGAAGATCTGGTCCGACGTGCCTAAGGTGGGAGAGCTGACTTCAATGTGAAGGGAGCCCTGTGTGAATGTATGCCGATCGTGGTGCACGTACTGTAGAGTCGTTTAGAGAGAAACCGCAGAAGAGAGAGAGAACATGAGGGCTTTAGAACAGGGAATGTAGCTACAAGCCCAGCGGAAAATAAAGAAAGAACACACAGGGCGGGAAGAAGCACTGTTCCATAGGGGTTAGGCGCTGCGCGTGATTCTGTCATGGCCTTCCATGGTGTCCTTTTCTAGCCTCCCCTGGGGGCCTTCGCGCCGATTCGCGCCTTCGGCCCGCCCCTGTGGAGTTGGGAGGTCGGGCAGCTATGGTGGCATCTCGGGCCCCGTCCAGATCACCTTCTCGGACGCCTCGCACGCCCAGAGTACAGCCGACGGCTCAGAATTCGGGGGAGTGGCCTGGCTTCTCCATCAACGCCATCAGCGCCATCAAATTAGAAGTGAGGCGGATATCTGATGAAGCCCTGTGCCTTCAGATGCAGCAGCTTCGGTCTCAGAGGTAGCTGCCAGTAGGCAGCTACATTCTAGTGCATGGAGGTGTGCTTCCTTCTTCTCTTGCCTTTGCAGACTTCCCAGCCCACTCTCACAGTCCTAAGAGCGCATGAATGCGCATAAGGTTCCTGGACAACTGGCACTATGTGGTGATGAAGAGCTCTCTAGGGAAAACCACGGACCGCCTGAAGGCTTCGGCAAGTATGCGAGACAGGTTTGCCAATTGGCTAGCTCAGACCATCTCAGATCTTTCGAGGCAGCCTAACTGGATGGCATGCCAAGCCCTGTAGCATACGTGGCTTGAGCCAGTGCCATTGATGGCAGTGTCGTGTCATCGTCCAGGCATTGGTTTCTCAGATCAGATTGCTGGCTGCTAGCTTCCTTACGCAGCAGATGGGGCCTTTCCCCCCTACGGAAACTCACAGCTTACAAGACACGCAGAAGTAGCTTCTTGTAAAGCCAAGAGTGAACCAGAAGCAGCCCAAACCGAGCCATGCGTGGGCGCGGCGGGTGCTTGGTGCTGGCTCTGTGGGCGCAGCTCGGCTCACAGAGTAGATGTACTTTATCGGATCTTTCGGGGGAATTCATGGAAATGCGCATCGTTCTCAACTCAGGTTTGCCACCCTGAGCGGAAGAGGTGCTGGGTGCGCTGATGCTCTTTGCACAGCCTGGCCATGGCCATGACATGCCACAAGGACTCAGACCAGGGCCATGCCAAAAACTGGCACGAAGGCTTTCGAGGCGAGCTCCTCGAAATTGTTGAGAAAAAGCATCTCCCTTCTGAGAACTGGGCAGGGTGCAAAGTGTCAGCTGTGCCGGGACAGCAATGCTCCTTGAATGCATGCCCCACTTTTCACCCAAACATGCCCAAGTGCTCTAACTGTTCAGTTAGTTGAGCTGCACGTGTGTGACGCAAAGCTAGGTCCGAACGCATGTTAGGTTTTCTGAACAACGCAGTTCAGCAGACGAAGGGTTTTCAGCAAAGGACACTTCCCGTTGGTCCACTCTGCCCCTTTCGCTCTGATTTTTGGTCGGCAGAAGCCGTGAACAATTACGCTGCCGAGATGCCCATCAAGCCAACCAGCTGCGTTAGAATCACTCGATTCACTAGATATCAGTATGCTGTTCTGAAAGATGTTATTCGTTTACTATCATGCTGCTATTTTGATATTACCACATGGGTTCGATCTTCGAGGCCATGGAATTCCTTAGCCCTTTCCATCGCGCACAAAACTGAGGCAGAAGCGCCTGAGGGAGCTCATGACCAAGATGCAGCTTGGAACTCCTCTGACCCCGGAGGCCCCCCCCCCGACTCTCTTTGTGTGGTGGAGCTTGGGATGTTCCCCTCCTCTTACTAGCAGCTCCTTAATAGGGATTATAGAACACCCCTATGATAATCGTCATGAGGGACTGGATAGCATAACGGGGGAGCATCCCAAGCGGTAGAATGCATCATGTAGTGCAAGACAGATTGCGCCATGTCATGTAGGGACTGTAGCCGAAGACAGAGATATACAGAGACCGCTTGTTTTGGAGCTCGAACCAGAGGAACGATCGGAGATGTGTGGCTTGGTTCGATGGCTTCTGTCTGCTGAGTTTACTGTGTGTCATCATTGATGCCATGCCCTCCAGTTGTTGCTTGCACCTTGCTAACTTAGCCACCGTCGTCATCAGGTCGAGATATGCAGGAAACCAATGATATGTGGCTAGCCACAAACTTTCGTCTGCGCCGAGCCGATGATTTCCAAGCTCTGGAACTCTTCGCTCTAACTGAGGCGAGGCGCCACAGTGCGTAATGCACCACAAGTCCACCTAGTTCCAGATTCTGGGCATAGCTTCCTGAAACTTTCTTGTGCCAGCGCTAGGTACGAATGCAGACGGGCGGACTTAGCATGGATGCAGTCGAGGCCTGCAAGAGATGTTGAAGGTGTTGTACGAGCGCATGGGCTCCCAGTCACTCCCAGTCTTTGCCAGGCACTCATGAAATGGCAGCCGGCGCAAATGGCCGCCATGCTTGAGGGCCGTCCACCTCCTCCACTTCCTCCGGGACTGAAGCTGGGACATCATCACGGTCAAATCAAAAGTAGCCGGTCTGATCCCGTCCGTTCGGAGGTAATTGCGGTAGTTTATAGGTGCGATGCTGCTAAGGAGCCCGGCGGCCATACAGCTCCTCGGCTACGCTCTTGCTCAGCTGACGCAAAACGAAGCCATTGTGCGATTGTGCGTGTTGTGCTTTTCGGTGGTTGTCAGAGGCAGATGAGCCAGTCTCTACCATCTGCTGGGGGCCAAGCCGGGAATTCTCGGGCTCTCATAAAGGGGGGTGGTGGGGTTTCGAGAGCGTTTGTGATTCGTCCAAAGGTCATGTCTGCAACATCCTCAGACTCCGGGCCAACCTCTCCACCCTTCACCGCCAACGCCAAGGCAGCTCGAATACTGACATTGCCTTTGTAGGTCTGCCGAGGAACTCAACAAACAAAGGGTTTTCAGACGTTCTCCGTTCGAGCCAAGCGGCCTGGAGTCCTCCATGGGAAGCCGCAGTGCAACAGAAGGGGAGCTGGGTGCCCTTGAAAACTACATTACATCCCAGTTGCAAGGCATTGGAGAGCACTGTGGTGCAAGAGGAGCTGGAAGCTTTGACCAGAGATCACGAAGGCCCGGCCCTGACATGTGTCACGTGATTGGCTGAATCGCGCCATTCGCACACCGCTCGAGGTCTTATACGAGACACGGCTGCACCGTGAGCAGGCTAACACACATGTGGACAGTTTGTTCCACAGCACACGGTACATGTCGCTATGCGCAGGACACAGGCTCCGAACCAGCCTTATCAACCTAGACCAGATCCAAGCTAGTATCTTGAGTGGACAGCATGCAAAACAACTGTAGACTCTGTCAGTGCTCACTCAGATTGGGAGGTCGAAGGAGCATGTCATGGGCACTCCTGAGGATTCGGAGGAAAATACGGCGAGTTCGATCCTTTGGGGAAGCAGGCATACTTGGACCAACTGGCCTTGATCGAGGATGTGATAGCACGACCATGTCAGACTACCCACATGGGCAGAACAGGTAGGTCCTCAGGCTTTTTTAACGTTAACAAATAATACTAAGGCATACAAGTAGGCCCGAAGTAGGTCAGCAACTGTTCCGGGAAGGACCGATGGCGGGTCTTCGTAGGCCGCTTCCAGCTCATGGGCGCATCTCGACTGGATGCAGTGCGTTGCAGCAACCCTGTGTTATACATTGTTGCATCTTGTTGCAGTTGCAGCAACAGTGAAGGAACTGAATCCAGACTATGTAGCCGAGTGCGAGCGCTACTTACAAAGTGTTTCTTGGCGTCATGTGCAGATTGGACGTCATGTCAATGTGCAGCTACGGGGAATAGTAAGGGCTCGACGCGGACACAGCATGACTTCGTGCATTTGGGGGCATGCTCCACTTTTGTGTTAGTTGCACCTGCCCTGTGATTCAAGGCTGGCATGTCTATTGAGCAGTTTCATGAGCATCTTCATGCAGCACACGACAAGATGAGAGCCGATGCCGAGAAGGAAGGGCTCAAGCGCTGAAGGACCTCGACACCTGATGTGCGCAACGCTCGCAACACTTCATTCCGGAGTTGGCGGCTTATCGCAGTTTCCACGGCATCGTGCCTACAGTGCGTGGCAGAATGGCCACCCCTCTCTGGACGAGAAGCACGTGACCGCGAAGGGCGAAGGGCCCCTGGAGATGCTCCAATCACCAGCTCGCTCCGCTAGAGCTCCGAAGCTCATGGAAGCACGCTGCGACAGCAAAAAAGCAAGCTCCCGGCTGTTCTACAGTCAGTTTGCATCAGAAGCAAGCTTTGCTGGCCTTTGCTGGCATGCATACATGATACCTGGCAGCTTCAGAACACCTCGGCAGGTCGTGGAGGCTGCTCTCCAGGTCCTGGCGCTCAACGGAGTGCCTCTCCGAGCAGATGAGCCGCCCGGCTTTGAGATGATGGGAGCAAGTTCAAGGCACCCGCTTGCCGAGTTTCTTTTGCCTGCCAGATAATCAGATGGGTCTTAGGATCGCAAGCCTCCTGCAAGCAGAGGCCTCTCGGCTTTGGGCATGCCACTCTATGGAAGTATATGCAAAAGAACTGAAGCTGTACTCTGCGTCAGGAAGAGGTGATGATCTATGAGGTCGTTGACCGAATACCTGAAGGCCCTGAAGCCTTGCCTTTGCCCATGTCGTGAGCTGATAGTGAGATTAGTTCGGCATGTCGGCAAGGCTTGCGAGAAGGCTTCGAACACC